CAGTTTCCTGAATAGCCAGAACCATTTTCATAAAAACTCAGCTTAATCCTAACATGTATATAATATAAATTATTCATATGTAGCAATTTATAAAGTTATATTGACTCAAATGATAGAAATAAAAGTATTTAATGATCTTTGACAAACAAAACTAGGGCAATTAGGTACTCTTGCTATTGAAATATGCAAGTATTAAATTTTCATTATGGAAAAAATAATAGTGATGGTAAATTTGACCGAAAGTTAAACATAAATACGAAATATTTTATTATTTTTGAAATAATTTTTGTGGATGTAGAAGAAACCTTCACTGTTCTTTGAAGACACTTCAAGGTCCTTGGGAAAATTGAATATGTGTATTAAAGTTAGGCAAGAAAATGAAGAATTGTATGCTTATTGTCAGTTGATTGATATAAGTGAGTCCTATAAAATTTATAGTTATCTAATGACTCTGAGATAATATTGACAAATATTTGTATTTGAATGAAAACCCTTTAATAGCAATAGGAAAATAAATACTATGATTAAAATTATGTATGTTGGGCATATTAAATTTTTATTGTGTTATTATAACTTAGTTGAAATAAAGTCTTTTTAATTTTTTTTATGTTTACACAACAAAAATTTCACAAGCTCAAAATTGTAAGCATGGAAACTTACTGCAAAGTAAATAAATATAATAAGAAACATTTTTATTAAAGAACTTTATTACCCACCAAGTCCAGTGTATGAGAGATATTAAGATTCACTTTTCATCTATCTCAGTTTGATTATAGCAAAAGAACATGTTTTGCATTATTGGTATCAAAGTAGCTGAAATCCATAGTTGATAATTGTTATTCAAATTTAACATTTTAGCATTTGGCATATGCCAGGGTTATTTGTGTAAAATTTGCTTTTCCTTTTCTTGAAGTAGGTTATAAAATATCTTAAAGTATGACCAATACAGGACAACATATTGGTATATTTTTATTACATTTCTATTTTCAATAGCTGAATATAAATTAATAGTATTATTCCTGTGATATTTATTATGAAGGAAACAATCAGACATTTCATTACACAGATCTTTTCTAAAAGTAGTTTTTCTTCTTTCACTAGCTGTTATCTATTTGATATTTAGAATATGCTCTTTAATGATATCTATTATTATTCAATTAAAACAAAGTTGTTTTGACATAGCTGATTATTCTGGGGCATGAAAGATAAGCTGAATGTCATGTTACTTATAAAATTGAAATTAATGTAAATATATTATTTTTAAAACTTCTCTGCATAATTTAGATAAATTACTTTGGTGAATATTCTGATAGTCCTGACTATTAAATCAATTTCATTAAAAACACTAGTTGAGTATAGTTGCATTATCTGACCATTGTACATAAGACTTAATATTGTATTTAATGTTGATAAAAGTTCATTGATAAGCTGTCAAGGATGAATTAATCTATAACAAGAGTATGTTTAAAACAAATAAAAGGAGTAACAGTAGGGATTCATGCCTTAGAAGTTGAGGGTATGATTCTCTTCCTTTAAGTAGATATTCGAGACCACACATAGTGATTTATATAGGCATAATCCATATGTCTGTATTCAGCAATGTAATATAAACTTCTGAGAGATGGGAACCAAATACAGATAATCTTTGTACATTCCCCAAAGTACTGGGCACAAATAAATGCAAATGAAACTCGTGTTTGGTAAATGGTGAAGTAGAAAAGTAGTAGAGACAATGTTTTCAATGAATTATGGACATACACATGTGTAATATATAAATGTGATATGTATATGATTTTGTATATATACACACACTTATTTTTCTTTGACTACAATATGCCACACAAGATTTGAACACAGTTATTGCAATAGCAACTGTAGTCTGTTTTGGGTTACTTTATGCTACATTTTTTTCTGTAAGTTTTTTAAATTTAATGTGATAACAATAAAACAAAACATCCAGTGCTGTTTGGGGTGTTTTTTTTCAAAAATAAAAGAGGAGCAGGAGGAGGGGAAGGAGAAACATTAACCCTTTCTAAACATCAAAGCCTAATTTCTGAAGGAAACAATGTGTGTGTTTTCCCCAAAGAATGGTTTCTAAAAGCAAAGAGCCTCAAATTAAATATACATGACTGAGTGAGTTTTTTTTTAACTTTAGATGTTAGATGCTAAAATAGATATGTTGATCTTTTACTCAATTTGCATTTTAAAGTTGAAGGCATGAAGGTAACATGTCTGTGCATGTCTCTAAATGTTCTATTAACACAAAGACACAATTGTGTGTTTAAAGTACAAACTTAATCTTTTAAGAATTGATGTTTTGAAATATTTGAGGATCAACACTCTTTTTATTTGTCTCTTCTATCTTGACCTTAGAGTGTAAATTACTACTGTAAATGAATTAATATATTCTTCTACCAGAATGATATATTTGAGACTTTCTCAATCTTTTAAATATGCTGAATATTAACATTATAATCCTTTTGTTCCTCAAAGGAATTAATTTCATGTTAAGTCTCTGTTCTTTTCATCAGTTTATAAAGCAAATAATGTGAATACTGTTTCTCTTGTAGGTGAAAACTTAGGCTAGTTTTTAGTATCATATATCTTTTATTGAATTAAAAAATTAATCATTAGTTACCCAAATTCAGACCACATATATCATGAAGAACAATGGTCTGAGAGAATTCTATAAGGGAATTCTGAATAATATAGCTCTGAAAAAAATGAGACATGAATGCTTTTCTGAATATGGGTATGATTCAAACAGACAAGTGCAGACAAATCTACATGCATATTGCATCTGGTTCATTGAGTGGCTTATAATTTTGAAACTGTCACATGTCAGCATATATATCAACACTGCTAGAGAATCAAAAAGGAAGTACATTTTTGTTAAGTGCAATTGCTTCTAACTCACAAAAGAAACAACTGTGTCTATATTTTAAAGAAATGATTGCTTTATAAAATAAATTATTTTTTACTCATACAAAGTAGTTAACTATCAACTCTTCCTCTTGCACATAAAAAGAGCATAATATTTTAGAAAGAATATGCATATACATATTTGTATGTGTGTTTGTAACACAAATGGTCAAATTGTTATAGTAATCATTTTTACAATCATATTTTGAAATTTATTGTCATCTTAAACTCATGGACTTTTGTTATTGTCAAAGGTAATGATAATTATATCTCAATTCATTTTTGATATGTTTTTACCTAGAGGTCTTTATCTTCTAGGTGTGCAATAAAGATTATCTAAACATATCTAAAGCTTTAATATTGAGAAAAATCTTGTAATTATTTTTTTAAAAAAACCCATATGCAAACATGACTATTAATTATCTGACCAGGTAATACAGATTATGTCAAGCTTAACTATGGCTTATTTAAACAAATTGTGTAGAGTATGTGAATTGTAGCCACAATGGGGGAGGGGAATAAATTCAAATTAATCAAGCTGTTGTTACTTTGATATAACAGTTTATGTTTCAGACATCATGCCATGATTTGTAAATAAGCCTGAGTCCTAGAAATAAACTTTAGCTTTTCTTTATCCTCCACTTCCCTTCCTTCTATGAGAACCATTTCCTTCTAGACTAATTTTAAATATAGATTTTTGATGTTCTATTTTAAAATGTATTCTTCAAAATCAAGCCAAGATCAACACTTGATTTTAAGTTTTCATTTTAAACTAGTTTTGTTAGAGATTATTTTGGTTCTTTTCCACTCGAAATATTTCCTCCTAAGCCTTTGATTTGAAAAATAAAAGGTCAGAAATAGATATACAGGCTTTACATTCCTAAAATAATGCTATTATGCTTTCCTTCAGTTTAGTGTAGTATATGTAAGTCATTTTTAAGAAGTGCCTTTAATAAGATGTTTTTAGTTAGCAATGAAGCATATAAAATTATTCACTGTAATTCAACTTTTAAAAATGAAAATTTAAAAGGTCATGGAAATACTTGACAGTAAATGAAAAGAAACGTTATTTTGAATGAAAACGTTGGCATAATGAATTGTGAATCTTTTCTAGTTTTAGACGTAATGATTTATAGCACATTGGTCATATTGTGGATTTCTATTTTACAACTGAATTTGTAAATTGCAAATTGAGTTTGCAAACAACCATGTGGGCAGTCAATATCAGCAACAGCAGTAAAATGAATAGCAAAATCAGATTTTACTCTTTCAAATACTAATATATAAACTACACACAGGGTTATCCATTTATAAATGATTTGCATACATTTAAATTGGCATGGATACCTTAAAAGAGCAGGTGGGTATGAATTCATAATGAGCGTGGAAGTACAGTCACCAATCGGAAACCTTCCTCACATTCTGGAAATCACTTGCATTTCACGTTTCTCTCCACGCAGCAAAATTTTAGACGTGAGGCATCTTTACTCTTTTTCCCTCCAATCGACTATAAGGTATTAACGGAAACTCTTTTAACTATGATATGTGATAAACATCATAGAGCTGAAATGCATAAAAAAGGGAGGGTGCTTTTATCTCAAAAATTCTCTAAGCGTCAAATGCTGACCTTTGCTACTTAATCATCTGCTTTCCAGAATTCTGCCACCGTGCCATTTCCCTCCAGTACGCTCTGCCCAGTTGAAAAATACCATCTACCCTTTATAATATTCGCTACTTTCTCTTTTCAGTTCATTTTTTCCCCATTGCCATCAACGTTGCTTCAAAACAATTCTGATGAATTTTGAGGCGAGTTTTTCCACCTTACTCCACTGTGATAGCCCATATACCCTTTAAAAAAATAAACTGAAGATAATAATAATAATAACAAAATAAAAAAATTCCCACACCAGAGTTACGGTTTCCATGACGCGTCCTTAACAAACTCGTTAAGTTTAGCTTGAAAGCATTCCTCCTTTCTTCTTTGCCTGTTTAGCCACTTCCACCACCTAGCAGTGGAGGAATTTTTGTTGTCGACTGACTCCCTCTAGCGCCGAACTGGCAGTATCCGAGTCGCTGCTGCCAGGCTAGGGAGCGCCAGGCTTGGCCAAGCTCAGCAGAGCTCTAGCTCCAGCTCTGCCCTCCGTGCCACCTCGGCCTCGGGGCGAGAGCTTGGGGACCCAAGACGCCAAGATCTCTCCCCTCAAATAGCCGCATAGCTCCGGCCCCCGGAGGTCCCACCAAGTAGCCTGCGCCTCGGCTAGGAGCTACTCGAACCCTAGGAGACAGCAGGGGCAGAGGGGGCGTTTTGCGTGGGGAAAGCCATACGCCAGCCGCTCTTTGGGCACCACGGTGGACGTCGCCTTTGAAAGGCTCAGAGCTCACAGTCCGACGCTGCCAAGTCGCGGGAGCTCAAGGACCCCGGAATCCCAGCGCAAAGGCTGAGACAATGCTGGTGACCTCCAACGCGAAGTCACCGCCACACGGCGACGCGCCGACCTCCGCGAGCCCTGGTGCCAAGCTCTCTCCCGTTTCCAGCCAGATGTGACTCCCTCTGCTGCTTCCTCCCTCTTTTGGCTTTCCAAGGACTACAAGCCAAAAGCCTGCCACAAAGCTTAGTCGATCGCCCTAGTGGACAAGTTTGGGCCGCTACTGGTGTCGCCAAGCACTGCCCGGGACCGGTAGCGCTAACCCACTACACGCACCCCCTCCAGCGGCGATAATGTGGAGAAGTAAGGGGAAGGCAATATCGCGAACCGAGTAGTCATAAAACGGTCTGCGCTGCTGTCGCGAAATGGGTGGTTAAGTGCTTGGGGGACTAAGCGCGCGGCCTCTGAGATGCTCAGAAAACTGCTGCCACGACCCGGGCGCGGTGCAGATGCGGCCGAGGTGGAAGCGTCTGTGCTGCGAACCTCTGTCGACGCCACTCAAACAAGGAGCTGAGGGCTTAGTCCGCAGCTCGCCCGGACCACTCGCGGCTGCTTGGAGCCGCCTCTTTCTCCAGGTTCTCCCGCACCGGCGGGAGGAAAGTTCTCGCTGCCCCCGCACCTCTTCACAGCTGCGCAGCCTCCCTTACTTTGGTCTCTGCAAGTGCCCACTTTAGTCCCGAGAGGCGCTCTGGCCGCCCGAACTGCCTGCCCCTAGCACCTGGTGGTCCCTCCCTTCATCCCCGCGGTGAGGCGCCCTCCCCCGCCCCTCGCTCCCCTCCCCCAAACCACAGCCCTAGCTCGCTCCTGCGCGCGCGCTCTCCGGGGCCCAAGTGAATAGTCCTCGCGCGAGCGGGACACAGTGGTGGATGCAATTCCCCTCGCCTCCAGCCGCCAGGAGCTCCCCGGCGCCGCAGGCAGTGTCCTCCTCCGAAGCAGCTGCACTCGCACCTGGGCAGCCTGGACCCTCGTGCCCTGCTCCCGGGGTCTCACGCGGGGGGCGCCCCGGGACACCCCCTGCGGGCCGGGTGGAGGTGGAGGAGGAGGAGGAGGAAGAAGACGTGGACCAAGACCCCCACCCTATCCTGAACACCTGGTTGAGCTGCTACCACTTCTTTTTAAGGGAAAAAAAAGAGCCCGGGAGAACCATGGGGGGCTGCGAAGTCCAGGAATTTCTTTTGCAATTTGGTTTCTTCTTGCCACTGCTGACAGCTTGGCCAGGCGACTGCAGTCACGTCTCCAACAACCAAGGTAAGGGACGGGGTGGAGGAGCAAGAGGGGACGCCAGGAGGAAGGTGCTTTGAGGACTAAGGCAGGTGGCCTTCTGCAGGTAACTTCGTCCTGGGGTCAGTTTCTCTGGGTTTGCCACACGAGGGGGGTCAAGGATTTTCCTTCACCGGAGCGTCCTTTCTATGCCGCCTAGGGCTGGTGGCCCCAGGAGCTGTGAGCCTTTCTGATTCCAGATTTCTTTAAACAGATGCGTGAGCATCAGCAGCACGTGGGTCCCTTTGCTGGCGTCTGTGGGACTGCTCCTGGCTGCGCAGTCTCCACCGGAGGTCAGGCTCCGCAGCACAGACTTAATGGGGACTTCTGACTCTTGGTTGTCGCTCAAAACAGGGTAATGTGTGGATTCTCCTACATGCCTACTTGAAAGGCAGCTTGCTTGCTCCCGCTGTACCTAGTGACTAATTGTCAGCCTTTTACCCCCACCCCCACCCCAGTCACTCAGTGTTGCCCTCACCTAGCCTTAGCCCCAGAACCCTGTTCAAATCTCCTCCTGGAGCAGATGGAAACAGATTTGTGGTGGGGTCTCTATTTTTTGCAAGCAGGGAGTAGATAAGCGTGAAGTGTGAATTTCCAAGTTTTGAATATCCTATTCATAACGTCAAGTTTCTGTCAGATATTTCATAGGAATTTGTTTGGGTGGATACAGAGACAAAGTAAAGGTGAATAGTATGTACAAGACGGTGTAAATGAGCATTTTCTTTCCTTCTATTTAAACAATCTTTATAAAATACATTTCCTTGGATTTCTGAATATTTAAAGGTCTATAATAATATCATATGCATATTGTAAATTCCTTTAGACTAGGTATCCAACAACCATAAAAGTTTTCCATCATGTACCTGGCTGGATGCTCTCACTGGCACTGTGATGACCACCAATATGTCACCTCTCCTAAAGACTTCAACTGTAAAACAACTGTGGACAATTGTAACTGCAATTTAACAGATGAGACATATGTGTGTGTAAGGGTCTGCAAATAATTTGCAGATATAAAAATGGAGGTCAGAGGAATCGAGAGTGTGTACTTTTGTGTAAAGGGAAAAAGATTAAGACAGAAGGCAAGTAAAACAATGAAGCCTTACTTTTGTCATAAACATATATGAACAATATACTTTATTTAGAAATAAAATAATCACTTGGAATCAATACTCAGTTCTCATTTACATAGTTGGTGCTTTGCCATGTTTTCCTATTTATTATTTTTTATCTGACAGAATGTAATCAAAAATTCATATGTGAACTTGGAACCCTAATAACTTTCATGACTTTGAAGATATGTCACATAATAAGTGACACCATAGTGCCATACTCTCCTATGATGGGGTATAATTTCACGCCACATCACTCATTTGTTTTCAAGGACTATTGGTATTAAATACCAAAGGAGCATTTATTTTACCTCTGTGAAATTAGAAGATTGTTAAAACTAACATATAATTATTTACTTGACCATTTTTATTAGGAGAGAGAACAATTTTTAAATTAATTTTTTATTTTAATTAATTATACATGATAGTAGTATGCACTTATATACATTGATATATCATACCTAGATGATATATAATTTCTCATTTTTCTGAGTATACATATTGTAGAATCATATTGGTCATACAGTTACATATATACATAAAGTAATAATGTCTGTTTCATTCTACTATCTTTCTAATCCCCACATCCCCTGCCTTCCCCTCCTTTCACTTCTTTTTACCTAACCTTAGGTAAAGTTATTCTTTCTTTTTCTTTTTCTTTCTTTTTTTTTTGCCTTTATACATGTACTTTGGGGGTTTTTTTTGTTGTTGTTGTTGTTATTGTTGTTGTTTGAATTACAATTCAAAATAATAACTGGGAAGTAAAACATTATACTTTATGTTAGTATCTCTGGAGGCTAAAGAGATGTACACTTTGAGAATTAAGTTTACCACAAGTTTTTAATAGTTAGTCCTGTGTAAGAATTTTCCTAAATAGATTTTTTAAAAAATTTTATTTAGTACCCATGATACATTAGCAACCACCCTAGTACTTGGGTTTACTAACATAAATAAAACAGGTGTGTATGAATTTTCACACCCATTTTACAAAAATGTATCATGTTAAAGTATAACCTTTCAGATAGTTACATTAAATTTAAAAGCCTAGTAATGGTAACCTTTTGCAATAGTTTTAATTTGCTTAGCTATTTTAATGACTTCTCCATACCATTTAATAATGTTTCACTTAAAATAAATACCAAACATGTAATTCATTTTTTAGCTGAACTTAATGTTGGAAAATTAGTATTTCCCAGTCTTTTTTTATCAGATAAATAGGATCATTGAAGAGTGTCTACTAAAGCTCTTAATTTGAATTTATATTCATATGTTAAAAATACGGGTTATGCATAAGAATATATGTGGGCAAAATAGTATCTACTGGTTAAGTTAGGGAAAATTTAGGATAATTCTTCAAAAAAAATTATATAGAGAAGTTATGATGCAGATTTTTTCATCATCACAAATGGTTGTTTATGCTCTGTAGAACCTAAACTTATAGTGGTTAGAAATTTGCCTGATAATAATTTTAGATAATGTTTAGATACTGAAACGACCACAAATAACACAAATGGTTCATAGATACCAACCTTGTAAATGTTAAACTTGTGAACTTTTTAGGCATATTTTCTTAATTTGTAGTGTCATTAGATAAATCAAAGCATTAGCCTTTGTACATCAAAACCATAGAACAATACATAATTATTGTAAATATGCAGTATGGAAAGACTAATGTAAAATATGTTTATTTTCTTATACACATAAAAAATCAATAAAATAATTAATATTTGTTTATTTTGAGAAGAGGCTGTTCATATCCCTAGTAATTTTCATTAACACTTTTGAAACTTGTTATTTTATAGAGGGTAAAATTTCACTTTTATATAACTTTCCTTCTTGATAAAGGACTTTCACAAAGTAAAAATTTTAACTGTGTATTTTTTCTAGCAAATTATATAAAAATCCTACCTGACAGGAAAGAATGGATTCATTCCCATTCCTGGTTTTCCATACATAGGCAGGGTCAAATAATGACAAGGCCTAACAAATGTAAACTACTACATTATTTACTTGATAAGTAAATAAATTAGTGACTTGGCTCTAGAAAGGACTGATCTTATCTTTTAACTAACTGTAAAGTTTTCTACTATTAAGTTTGACTGTATTACCCAGACCTCCTTGATTCAATGAGAAAGTATCTGAATAAATGAAAACATGCTTTCTATTCAAATCCCTCTTATTCCATTGATTTCTCCTATATTTAAAGTCACAACATTAATTCAGTGTTTTAATTTTTTATCTAAAAATCTGACTTTATCTTCTCTAGATGATAACCTTTTGTTTCTGTAATGGTGAATATCAAAGTCTTGCTTCATGTATAAGTTAACCATCTATGTCAATTACAATGGTTAGTAGCCACTAGGGGTCCATTTATTCAAAGATTATTTCACTTTGCAAAGAATATTTTATTGCCTAAATGAGTTGATATGCCTCTCAGGGTGTGGCTAGTGTTTATACAAATAGTCAGTTACATACACAAATAATTCATTAAGTCAAAGTAGGATTTGGATACATGAATCTAGTACTTATTTTATTACTGCTATTGTTTGAATTCATTTTCCCCCCAGATGATTCAGTGACAAACAAAATAACTACAGTTGTAATGTAATCAATTAGTTTTATTGAATTTATTGACTTAGATGAATTGTGACTGCAAAAGCAACTAAATAATGTGTAAATAAAAGTTAACATATCTAAGCAAAAAAAAAATCTGCTTAACAAAGTTCATGGCTTAAAATTAGTTGATTAACTATAAACAGTGTTGAAAACTGTAAGATTGAATATTCTTATATTTCTATAAATGTAGAATTAAGGAAAAATTTTAAGAACATTTGAACTTTAAATACTAATAATACTTTTTAAACTCTTGAATATTTAAAATTTTTTATTGATATATAAATATCAATGCAACCAAGAATGTCATTTTATTATACATTTAAAGTTAAAATGTCATTGTATGGTCATTATGATTAGTATCCTGAAAGATTAAACATCATTTTTATGCAGATTCAGCAATGACCACCTAAATGTTGGTTGTTCTGGGTTTGAAATGAGATTATATCTAAAATAGTTTGCTTGCACAAAAAAATTATACAGTGTTCATTAAAGATCTGTGTTTCAAACCAGAAATAACTTAAAAGAACGTAATAGAAACTGCACATACATCAAGCACTTTTAAATTTTTAAGGAAGAAAAAATGTTTTTATTGTACAAGAGAAGTAAATGGTTAACTATTTTTTTTTTTTTACTTTTGGGTTACTGTCATTACAAAATAAATATTAGAAAAATAATGGAGTAGAAAGTATTTTGTTTTGTTTTTACTAATCACTGCTAGTATAAACTTTTTTAAATATAAAAGACATTATAGTTTTTTATATACCAAACTATTTCTCTGTCACACAATCTCAATATCACTTTCTTTTCTCCATCCTCCTCCTGCCTTATATACACCTATGATTCTCCTAAAACTATGTTTCAGTTGTCACCATGAAAGATTAGATTCTGCTTCACACAACAGAGCTAGAAGTCTTGTTATTATACCCTGGCTCAACACTTCTTGGTAGTATAAACATGGTGGAGATCAATATATATAGCTAAATAATCAAAATAGGTTGACTATCCAATGTACATTGTAAACCATGTTATCAAACCATACTTACATAGGGGTTAAATTGCTTATGTATCTCGTGTTCTTTTAAACTCATGATATTTATATACCTCATCACTAAAAAATTGAAAACATTAATTTTTATTTTATTGAATATTGTTCCCTAGAATCTAAAATTTAGATCATGGAGAAACGTTATGGGACAGGCAGGTGTGTTTTATATCCTCATCAAACTTGGTAAGTAAATAAAACAATAAAGGTTGTAGAAA